TCCCAGAAGGCTTAACACGGGCGACACAATTTTCGCGGCCACCGGACGACGGCACGACGCGCGTCCGCTCCCGTTGCCACATATCAATAACCAAGGGTCACAGCTACATGAAACTTGCGCGCAGCCAGATGGCCAATAGAATGGGCCATTGGCCTGGTGTAAGTTTAAGGCGCCAAGGGGTAGGTGGCTCGTGCACATCTGCTGGAAAGATGAAATTGGCCGTTTTGACAGGTTTGTACATTTTGGGCTATATCTCCGCACGCGGTGCAAGTAGAGGTGTGAATTTGATCTCCCAACATTCCAAATTAAAGCAGCTACACTTTCCGAGTGCACAGCAGCTTTGTGCGACGAACTGTTGTCCTGTAAATCGCAATACAAGTTGCAAACCGCCAAGTTTTGAAAGCCTGCGCCTAATACAAGCCGCTACCGTCAAAGCTATTCATAATTCAGCGTTGGAAACTACATCAGCGTGTTGGCCGTTTCATTCTTTATTAACCACCGACGGAACGGCGCTGTACAGCCCCTTGGCCGCTGGCAGCGGCTGTCTAACGTAAAACGGTTGTCTTGATCAAGTGGCTTGCTCCCTATTTCAGTGCCACCGACCGATTATGTCATCTCGCACCAAACTCTCGATAACGGCGGGTGGGACGACACGAGAGTGGCACGAAAAGATGCACCATGCGAAATGGTGTGTTAGCATGTATCACGTGGCACGCGTCCAAGGATTAATTTCGCTCTTTTCCACGAGTTTACACGTGTTGTGCCAAATCTCGGCACCTAGGACACGGACACACTCGGAAGTGGCACGCTTCGATAAGGAATGGGAGGAGTAAGATGACAATGATAGGTCATACGTGCCACGTGTAATGCCGCCCACGTCTTGAGATGTGAATTTGGCTATTTTTGACGAGTTTACACGTGTTTTGCGATATCGCGGCACCCAGGGCACGAAGCGACTCCGAAGTGCCACGCTTCGATAGGCAATCTAACAGGCAATCACGCAGTGTAAGATGTGATGCCGCACGTGCCACGTTCCACGTGCGCACTAGCTGTTAAGATCCACTTTGCTGGATCGGTTTTTGGATTTGCTGGATTTCGTTGTCTTTTACGTTTTACGCCACATTTCTGCGTTCAGAGCATGTAACCACACGGGACTGGTATGACGCACTAAGGAATTAAAGGGCCCGTCGTGTGTTTCCATGTGTATGCAAGCACGGGTTACGTGTCAAACACATACGCCCCGGACGGACTGAGTTGCTTGTTTTGACAGGTTGTAAAGTTTTGTGACACATGCAGCACCCAGGGTACAGAGCCACTGGGGAGTGGCATGCGTTGACAGGGAATCGGACAGTCACGCTGTATGAATTGTCATGTCACACGTGCTGCGAGTCATGCATGCACCAGCCAGCAAGATAGAGCTGGCCGCGAGTCATGCATGCACCAGCCAGCAAGATAGAGCTGGCCGCGAGTCATGCATGCACCAGCCAGCAAGATAGAGCTGGCCGTTAACGGCCGTTTTGCACAGGTTGCGCTATATCTCGGCAGCGGGGGCGCCTAGAACCGTGATTTAAACGGTGAAACATAAATGATTAAAATTTTTCCTTTTTCATTAGGGCAGTGACGTAAGCATGGAAACGCTTGTTGTTTAGGCTACAAATAAAGGATAAAGAACTTACCACGCTAAAACCCGGTATTTTGTTTGCATATTAAAGTACAATGCAGCAGTGTGCTGAGTTCATGCTCTGCTTGTGGAAGCGTTTCGTGCGCTGCAAGTGCACGGGTCTGATCGGCTGGGAAATACTAATTACCTTTGATGCAACAGCCTAAAAAGCAGGCCAATATCAGGTTTGTTGTCTGTGGCTGGAACTTAGAGAACAGAGAGGTGTTACGTGAGCCTTCGTCGTTTTAGCACGCAGGCTGGAGTTTTAAGCTTCCGGGGAGGCAATCCGAACCATAAACGCGAGCAAGATGACAATGCAGCCGAGCCATATTAATCCTGAAATGTTTTTTGGTTCGTTAAGGAATTGGTCTCATCGAAATACCATTCCTAAACTAAATAGAAAGAACGCTTTAACACTTATACCCGATCAGCTGGCGCTTTTTTGTGTGTGTCAAACACGTACTCTTTACGATATTGCAGTCATACAAGGATTTGTTGTAGCATGGGCCTTTGGAACGACGACTACGCGACATTAGTTATGAAACGAAAGCTTATACTAATTCTTTGAGAAAAAGGCAAACCTTTACGAAGGACACTTACGAAATGTGTTCGGGTGCCATTTCTCATTTCATCTGATGGCATACGCAAGATCATGCTATCGTCGAGGGAGTGACGAACGTCTGCCAATGCACATTTTCCCTTTTCGTATATCTGTTGATCGATGTGGCATGACATCAGAATCCCATGAATAAGGTCTGATGATGTATCCTTCATACTAAACGTGGATGGGCACTTTTACTATACATAATCTCATTGACAATTTACATGTGTTTGCATTCTGCTCTAAAATAATGTTATTATCCTTTATGTATATAAGAATGTATATTTGCCGATCTGTTTTGGCTCGGGTCAGGTTTAACCCACGCTACATTAAATCATGAATTTGCCTCTTTTCTTTAACGATTGGATACACTTCATAATGTTGGCACTTCTACATAACACCCAGATGAACGTACGTGTAGCACATATAAATCATATCAGGCATCCACAAGCCATATGCGACTGGGCGCGTGTGCCGACAAAGTCATGCTGGGTCGAAGGGTGAAGGGTGATCTGAGCCTCGATGACAACACGATATATCTTCAGCTTGCCGTTCATACGACGCCTCGGTCGTGTGATGCCTTCACTGAGAAGCGCTAAGAAGGGAGCTCAGTTGGCGTGACCTAGATGACCCGGAAATTGAATTGACCTTTCATGAGCCTGAGGTACGTGCTCTGGCACAGCAAGTCGCCGGCAAGATTCAGTGCCGAATCGCCATGCATGACATTGAATATGAAAGCGACTCCAAAGCGTGGGCCCACTTCGAGTAGGGGGACGGCTCCTAGCATCTGGTCGTGTGACGTCATTTTGATACAATCTAGGATGGCCGTTGCTTGAGCTGATTCGCCACTGGCTCGTGACACAAATCGACGAATCAGAAAAATGCAGTGGTAGTAAAGCACACACAAACATCAACCATGGTAAGAATCGATTTTGCTGGTAGTAATTATGTTATATCACTACGGCATCACTGTACACTTATTACTCAAGATGCCGTGGTTGCCTCTATTTTCTCCAGAGCTATAGTGAACAACAATGCAAAATGAAGTTTCGTGAGTGAAGTGCAAGTCAAAATTAAACATCCCCATAAATGTTGGCTTCATACAAATCTTGTAGGCATATGTGCACAAGTTCTTCCTGTTACGTTAAAGGGACGGTTCCACATTTGTATGGAGTTTGAAACTGAGATAGCCACTTTCGAGATTATCCTCTGCAGTTCAAAATTGCACATTTTAGAGGCCTTCAAGTATGTTTTCCTCATTTTTAAGGAAGGATAACTTATACAGACTATTTCGTACTGCCTACATTAAAGTCATTGCCATGTGCATGACGTCATAGAGATGTTAGACGAATTCCATCTTCTCGATGATCATACTATGTTCAAGGTCAAGATAATTATGGTCGTTGATCTAACTGTGTCTGGAGTACGTCTGCACACATCCCTGCATCAACGAGCAGCAGTTGGCTTTCAATTAACTTAACGCGTTAAACGCAGATCTCGATTACGAACCACGTTTGTGATATATAACACGGGCATCTAGGCACTCGTGCTAGCTATGATGGACTTGAGACCGGGAATCGAATAGCTTAAGAAAATACCGCAACCAAGAATGCAAATGTAAATGAGAAATATAAAATGCAGGACAAATGCACGAGAACATCACGAGAAAGGAACATTGCACGCGGACATAACGTTCTTCGCGTTTATCACGCACGCCTAAATTGATAAGCCGCCTTGCGTCAAGTAGAAGTGCTTTAAGTGAGTCAGCCCGTCTGCATTAGTGGCAGTTTTTATGCAGCCAGTCTGGCAGCGACTCTGACGTCATAAACACGTTCCATCGCGTGATCAAACAATGACGCATTGAGGAGCGTACTTACTAAATAGTAAAATTTGTTATCTGAAGGATTGTCAAAGAACGCAAAGCACAAAGACACGTAGCAAACCATTAGTTTTAAGTACGCATTTTCCATCATATTTGATGCTCCCCTCAATACCTTGAAATATGGAATATTTCTTTTACAGGTCGTTTGCCCCAGTGTGCCACTTCATCGTTAAGTGTTGAAGGACACAAAACCACGCACTCCTTGATTTGTTTGTTATTTTATTTGACGTAAAATCTGTTCAACACTAATATATCTTGCCTGCAAGAGTACTTGTTCACATTATGGATGACCGATTCAAATGCATCACATCATTTCAATAAGCTTCACATACAAAAGTGTGGACAGCACTCAACGCCATTGTGTCCGCTCACCACCTGCAACACTGATCGTTTAAATAAAACTGGAAATAAATTATCACAATACCACATACACAAACCCATTCACTCGTCCGGACGCCCGGTCTGCTCGACACCTCATTCCGCCTCACACGGACCCCAACCGCCGCGCCTATCGCTACCAACACAGAGGTACTCCGTCCGCGTCCCTCCGTCAGACCCGAGCCAGCCGGAGTCGCTGACGTCCTGACGCGACAGCCGGCGGGACACGCGACGAGGTCGGCCACGCCCGAGCGGCGGGGTCGCCCTGAGCTCAGCGGCCAGCGGCGTGTCGCCTCTGGCCTCGCGCCTGCCGTTCGAAGAGAACGGGCGCCACTCGCGCGGGCACCGGCCGCCGGCCCGTCCAATGCCCTTCTCCGAGAAGCAGCGCCGGTGCGGCGGGCCGCCAGTGCGGTCTGGCCGGCCGCCAGCCCCGCTCACGCCGGCGGCGGTCCAGCGACGGGCGAGCGACCACGCGCCCCTCAGGCGTCCACCGTCGGGCTGGGGCTGCTGCGGGGCGTGGCTGGCGTGGAGGGCCGCGCCTCCCGCAACAGCGGCACCGACTGCTCCCGACGGGCGCTCGCCGACGCGCCCTCCTCCTCGTCGAAGTCGTCAATGTCGTCGAAGCCCTCATCGCCGGTGAGGCAGCCCTCGAGTGCGCGGGCGGCCGGGCCGGGCGCGGCGGCGGCGGCAGCGGCGGCGGCGGCGAGCGCGGGCTCTACCGCCGCCATCGCCACCTCCGCTCGTCGGAGGATGCACGAGTCGGAGGAGAAGCCGCGCGGTCGCGCCGGCGGCGTGCGCACGTCACCGGCGCTGTGGGCCTTCTCGATGGCGCCGGCAGACGGCGCGGCCAGCGAGTTCACCGGCCCCGGCTCCGCGCACACTTGGCTCAGGTTGCTGTGGCTATCCTGCTGCAGACTGTAACTCTGCGAGGAGATTGTACTGAGTTTGCGCGGCACGAAGGCAACAGTGAGGCCGACCTTGCGACCCTCCACCTTCACCTGGACTGGTACGCTGCTGGCACCGCCGCCGCCGCCGCCGAGCATCCCGCCCACGGCGCCGCCTACCGCGCCGCCCTCGCTGTCGTCCTGCGCCATGCCATCATCCACGCCCGACGACTCCTCCTGACTAGACTCGGTGAGCTTGCTGTAGACGTTGTGGAAGCGCGTGTGGCGCTGCGGCGGCGGCGGGTCGGCGCAGTGTAGCGGGCACCCGCTCTCGTGGTGGCGCCCGGGCGTGAGCGTGCCGGCGCCGGCCGCCGCCGCCGCCTGCGCTGCTTCGTCCGAGAAGGCGATCTGCCGCGTCAGCTTCGGCTTCGGCTTCAGGATGCCGCTGGACGCCTGCTTGAGCAGCGGGTGCGGGAGCGGGTGCGCCAGCACGATGCCGGAGTTCTGGCGCACGACGGCCGGCCGGAGCGGGCGGCCGCGCAGGCTGCCGGCGCGCTCGACCGCCTCGGCCAGCGCCGGCTTGTGCAGGCTGCCCTGGCCGCGCAGCAGCGCCGAACTGCTCATGTCGCTCGACACGCTGGAGCGGCTCAGCCGCCACGACTGCGTCGTATTGGAGCCGGCCGTGGCCGACGAGTCGTTGCGCGAGCTGCTCAGGTTGGAGTCCTGCGACGGCTTGCGCGTCACCGTCCACGAATTGCGCCGGCGGCTGGGCGGGTGGCTGTGCGCGCCGTTCTGCTGGCGCAGGGAGTCGGAGCGGGACGAGCTGAAGTTATCGCTCGACAGGCTGGCGTTCCGCTTGTTCTTTTCCTGGTTCTTCTGGATCTCGGCTATCTGGTAGGCGTAGTCGTTGCTCGAGTCCATTTGCTCCTTGGCCGGAGTGGGACACCAGAGCGCGCGGAATGTGGCCCAGCGGCTGGGCGGCGGCGCCTTGGCTGTGTCGCAGAGCAGGCGCTGGCTGCAGCTGCACTGGGCGCTCTCCTTGCTCTCCTTGGAGGCGCGGTCGGCCAGGCTGTTGGTGTTGGCCGGCGTGTGTCGGTTGCTGAAGTTGCTGCTGTGCCGGCAGCGGCCGATGCCGCGCGTGACGCGCGACTCCTCGATCGCCTTGCAGATCATGACGCAGTCCTTCTTGAATTGCTTCGTCATGATGGCGTAGAGGAACGGGTTGCAGCACGAGTTGAACGGCAGGATGAAGACGGTGAAGACCTTGGCACCCGACAAGCCGATGAGGCGCACGCCGAACGCGGCCGTGACGGCGAAGAAGGCGATCGGCGCCCAGCACAGGAAGTCGGTGAACACCAGCAGAGCCATCCTCTTGGCAATGCGCGAGTCGTTGGAGTTCCAGGCCTGGCTGCCGCGGATCGCACAGTACATCTTCCAGTAGCAGCCCATCAGGATGGTGAAGGCCAGCCCGTTGACGAACATGAGGAAGACGACGTAGCCGGTGCCGGCGCCGGCCGTCTGGAAGGGCAGGCAGACGGCGAAGCGGCGGTAGTCGGAGACACCCACCAGCGGCAGCAGCGCCATCACCAGCGCGAACGTCCAGCCGCATGCCATGATGTAGCTGGCATGCTTGATGGAGAGCCGCTTGTTGAGGTGCATGGCGTGCGTGATGGCGTAGTTGCGCTCCATGGTGATGACGGCCAGCGTGTAGACGGACAGCTCGGAGCTGAGCACGCCGAGAAAGCCGGCCATCTGACAGCCGGCCGACATCTGCCAGGCGATGGCGTACTTGCGGAATTTACCCAGCGTCGAGGCGTCCACCACGGCCAGGAACCCTGCGGCACGGCAGACGGCGCGGGAGCGTCAGGGCATGGCACGGCGCCGGCTCGACAGGTGCGACACACACATTCTGGGCGCACTTGCGCCTCAACACCAAGTAAAGTGTCGCCACATATTTATTCATGATAGCTTGAACGATAGAAGTATTATTCCCGGACCGTCGATTACGTGATTGCTCATGGCCACCAGTTAAAAGTAAGCGCAGATTTGATGCGATCGTTATTCGTGATTGTCACCATAAAACCACCACCACTGGCCAAATCTCCGATCAAAAACCAACGTCATCACCATATAAACACTTCTTTCGACTGAAGCACGTACAAAATCAAAATACAAAGCGCAGTGCAGGTTATCACCACGCACAGTTCCCTTCAAGTTACAGTGAGACCAACACATCACGCTCAGCGAGCAGGGGCGGTCAGATCTGTGGTCGCCGCCTCACCCAAGTACACGCCCATGAAGAAGTCGGCGGCGGCCAGGTTGCAGACCAGGAAGCGCGGCACGTCCATCTTGCTGCGGGCAAAGATGAGCACGAATACGACGGTGCCGTTGCCGAGGAGTGCCAGCAGGAAGACCACCCAGACCCCGCAGCGTAGAGTCCACCAGTCGAACAGGTCCTCGCACGGCATGAAGGGAGCTGTCGGCCAGACGGCGGAGTCAGGCGGCGCACAGGTGAGCACTGATTGGGTACTTGGACAGGCACCGGCGCCAGATTAGAAAATGGGAAAGCATTCTTTTTTAAATATATCAGACCATGCTTCATAGAAGATGACATAGAAAAACACAAGGCACGGCTTTCTTATTTGCTGACGCCTTGCAGTGACGAACAATGCTTTACAAAGTCGGGGAGAAACTCTGTCAAATTGATAGGCTGCACTATTATTCTCCACATTAAAATGCACCTCATCAATCCTGAAATCCCCCAAGCCGGCTGAAGCTTCCACGCAACAATTCACTTCCAGCACTAAATCGTGCTATTTGTTCCGCTATAATAAAATCATCAGACAGACATAAATTATCGAGCGCTACGTGTGCTGGCCAGTCCGTAAATTGCCGGAGATGAACGAGGCCTGAGCCATGGCTGCGTCTTTGTTGCGCGTGCTGCTCACATGGCGCCGGTGAACATTTGAGGTCACCGCCCCCGCCCGAGACGAACAGCAGCGGCTCGTCCGAGTCGGCGTGACCGCTGTCGCTCTCGTCAGCCGGCGGCGACATTTCGAAGTCCCGCAGCAGGGTCTTGCCAAGCTCTCCAAGCGTGTCGGACAGGTTAGCTGCAACGGTAAAGAGCGGCGTATTAACGATCTCGGTGGTGGCGCCCGGGATCATTTCATTATTGAATTCCTTGAATTCAATGAAATCCTTGAAAGCCTTGAATGCGAGACTTGCTTTATTCTTAAATTCCTATTTTTGCCACTTAGCGATATTACTAAGGTCAATCGTGTTCTCAATAACTCGTTCAAATTTCTTGCAGTTAATTTGACGACGGCGTAGCCGCGTCGGCATAGTAGCTTCACGGACATCTGAGTTGCAGAGCATCGGTCGCACGGCCAGCGGACAGCAAACCGCCCACATCGGACTGAAGACGCACGGCACCCGCGATAGCCGCCACCTGCCGTTTCAAAACACAGCCCGCGAGCCGAGCCGGGGCTGTCCCGGCCGCCTTCGCCGTCGCACACGGTGAAAGCCCTCGTGATCGATGAGCGCGAGCGACGCACAAGGTCGGAGGGGCCCATTGACCCAGTCCCGCGCCTCCTCTCTATTAGCTCGCGTCACACGCGCGCCGCATCACTCACGGAACCCACTCACGGAGCTCGGAACTCACGGAACTCGCCCACGGGGCTCGGAACTCACGGAGCTCGCTCACGGAGCTCAGAACTCACGGAACTCGCTCACCGGGCTCGGAACTCACGGAACTCGCTCATGGAGCTCGGAACTCACGGAACTCGGGCCAGGTGTCGGTGAAGTTCTCGCTCCAGGCGCTGAAGTCCAGCTGGTCCCCGCTGGGGAAGATGACGCGCTCCTGGACCTGGCTCAGCGTCTCGTTACGCGGCGCCTTGAGGCCACGGAATTGGCAGCAATGGTAAGCGTAAGACACCTCGACGCTGTGCAGCTGCGGCAGCTGCTTCGGCTCCGGGAACTCGCGCAGCTCGGCGATGTTGCTACAGTGCAGGTGGAGCAGGTGCTCCAAGCCGCGGTGCGGCAGGCGTGGGAAGCGGTTGCTGTTGAGGTTGAGCCGCTGCAGGCGCACCAGTGGCACGAACGCGTCCTCAGCGATCGAGGCCACCTCATTGTGCCGCAGGTCTCTGCCGAGTGCGCGCGAGGAGTCAGCGGTCTGGAAGTGGTGGTGGAAGGGGGGGGGGGGGCGGCTGGTGGCCGGAATGTTCGGGTTGTCTTTACAATCGGCTGGAAGTTTAGTGGCGACCAGGGTGGAATGAAGCAGTGCTCATAGCCGTAATGGTAGCATGAGATGATCAATATCCCGCGTTTGCCGTCTTGAATGGTCGCTTTCAAGGTGTCTTCTGGTGTTCACTTAAGCTGCTTTCCTTTGCGGGCTTAATGCTCGAAATTTGGTCTAGGTTTCCATTTTGAAGATCTCAATATGTCTAGAAGAACAAAGAGAATGCAGCCGAAACTGGTGCTGCACATCCTTTCCATTGCCCCTCCCTTGACTTGCTAATCAGAAGGAGCTGTTCAGCTTTATCTAGCACTCTGAGACCCCAATGAACAGATGACGTGATGTGTACCCCGCATACACGCGGCCAATAACGAGATGACCGGCTGGTAATGACGGGGCGCATCGCGCTAATGAAGGCCCGCCGTACTATGAGCTCCGCCCTGACTCCTGATGGGAGCTGACAACCGCGCTGCATGAATCATCGCATTGCTAGTGCGGCGTGTGGCCACGGCTTTAACAGCTGTGTTTGGGCATCGGGTCGTAAACGTTTGGCTGCCGGCCAGACCCGCACCCGCCGTGAGGTCAATGACACCCGCAGAGACCCAGCCAGATGGATGATGCTACAGCTTACGTGATTTATCAGCAGTTCGAGCCATGGAGTGGAAATGTTGCACATCGTAAAGCTGACAGCCACATGCAATAAATTCACGCTAAACAGTACCAGCAAGAGGTAATGGACCCTCTGTCCACCAGGGTCACCAGTAGAAAGGCATGACAGAGAGAAAAACAGAACTACATCATGGATAAATCTTGCATAAATTACCTATGAAGTCAACTTAAATGTCAAAAGAAAGATGGTATCTGAAATGTTTACAAGTACATGGGTGCTGCTTTGTGCAGTAGAATACAGTAGAAGAATGTGATAGCAAGCATTAACAGCTGTGTTTGGCGCCAACAGCATTTCATTAACCCCTCTGCTCGGCTGAGATCAGGTGGAGGTTACTAACAATGACGCCACAGAACTGAGGCCTCCCACGGCTGACCAGTGGCCAGCGGGGGTGCGCGCCCTCGGCGAGAGCGGACAATGCCGCGCGTGATCATCCCCCGCCGCGGCCTGCGCGGAGGGCTGGCGACACGGAGGGCGAGCATGGCTGACGGCTTAAATCAGCCGGCGGGCCATCCGTCCCGATGATGCATGGGCTCTCTGACCGAGGACCTTCAGCACGGTCTCGCACATCACTCAAGAGCGGCCCCCTGCAGCGCCGAACCAGGAATGCGTTGCGAGGCACAGCTGGGTGACGGCAGGGGCTCCGCAGAGATCGTGAGCATCCGCCGCGGCTGTTTTGGTGTACCCATGGCCCTGCTGGCGCTTGCCTCTACGAGAAACACGCTCGCGTTGGCGTGTCATACGATTTTTCGCTGTCATTCGTTTTCAATTCGTTCGTTCATTTCTACGTTCGTTTCTATGCGTTTTAATGACAGCGCTGCGACTCGCCTATCACTACAGCATCATCAAGGGCCTTGATACATGATTTGGGTATGCCTGTACGTGAATAAAACCCTGCTCGATCACCGCCCGTCAGATCTAATCAGACTGAATGCCGGCCGGTCGTTTGTCGGTCGTTCCACGCGGCCAGCGCGGTCACGGCGCGGAGGTCAACTGAGGCCGGCACTGGGGACGGCCCCAGTGCCAGCTGGCCGAGGCGCACCGCGGCGGGTTGGAATCGCCATGTTTAGGTTTGATTCTCGCTCGCTGCGCATGTTTTTTTTTTCCTCGAGAAACTGGGTTATACGAATAAACGTCCGCAGCGTGTGACATGCGCCAAAGCTCTGCAATTTTCTGTTTTCAGAACTTAGCTTCTGAAGGTACGTGTTCAGCAACGTTTGGCATTCTAATAGAATATTCGAATATACCTCCCCAAATATTCAAATACCCGACTAGAAGGGGTACTCACAGGATCACCACACGGAGTACTCACGGGATCAGTTGACGGAGTACTTGCAGGATCACGAGACGGAGTACTTGCAGGATCAAAATTACGTAAGTTGTTCAGTGCATTAGCGGGGGGCACTATTCACAGAGATAAGACATTAGTATTAGCCTTATTCCTCGGAGAAAAACCAGGAGAATGGAGATATAGTTGGGTTGATATGCCTTTATCGAGACGATATCAGAAGTATTCAGCTATTGTTTCAATAATGTAATAACAATAGCAGAAGTCTTCTGTTATTGTTCCGATAAAGGCATGTTGCCGCAATATCATCCCAACTATATCTCCATTCTTCTGGTTTTTCTCTGAGGAATAAGGCTAAAATTGCCGTCTTACTTGCAGGATCAGTAGATGGGGTACTTACAGGATCACCAAACGGGGTACTCGCCGAATCGCCAGACGGCGTACTCCCAGGATCAGCAGACGGGGTACTCACAGGATCAGCAGACGGGGTACTCACAGGATCAGCAGACGCGTGAGGCCGATGAACGTGTCTCCGGGCAGCTCCTGGACCCGGTTGTGACGCAGCACCAGGTCGTGCATATGGTACTGCGACCTGAACAGCTGACCCGACACCGACTCGATGGCGTTGTATGAGACGTCTCTGCAACGGCGAGGAGGTCAGCTCTCAGCGTGTTTGGGTGTACAGCACATGCCGTTGCTGCTCTAGCGGTGTGGTCGCTGGGAGTCAGGAATGTACGCGGTAAACAAGTGTCTTAATCTCGCAACGTCCGTGATCTGGATTACGTCTTGATGTCGAGACATTATTCGGTTGAGGGTTGTAAGGCATTCGAAATTTCTGCTGAGGTCCAAGCAAACGCCTGTTGCGCAGAAAATACCGGCGCGTGCACCTTGCACGCGAAAATGTGCGATACATGTTGTACATACATGTAATGCAATGTAAGGCAACACATGTGATGTGAACACGCATGCAAAATTAGCTAACCCTTCTCAACTAAATGTTTTACAGACCATTAACCCACATGTGGCGGCGTGGGATGAGCGGAAGGACACCAGACACGAAAATTGTTGGGTGTTGTGTAGATTATATCAAAACCCGACTTATTGGAGGCGGAATCCTATGAGAACCAATACCAACAGATCTCATCCACGTGTTAGAAATTCCCCCTTTCATGACTTATCCTGCGGGGCCCAGTGCTGCAGCATCCGCGCGTCCACCCACGCATACCAACAGATCTCATCCACGCGTTAGAAAGTCCCCCTTTCATAATGACTTATCCAGCGGGATCTAGTGCTGCAGCATCCGCGCGTCTGCCCATGCATAATCAGCTTTACAAATGTCTCGCTAGGAGGTCAATCAAAGTCAGCAATTGTTATCGACAACGCCAATGCATTCTGAATTATTCACACCTTTTGCAACAGTAACAGCATGATTGCCAAAATGCAAATATGTTGGGTGGACATTGGTCACAATAAGCAGTGTTGAGATCGGTGACGGACCAATGGGCCGGGCAGTTTAGAGATCCAGCTGCAAAATATGTCCGGAAGGTCGCGGACATCGTGCAGCTGGTTTCATGTTTGCCTGCTCTGGTCCTTGAGAGTTGACAGCAATCCTTGTGAGCGTCCCACGTCGGGTGGATGCATGGGCTGCTCACAAGGGCCAGTATCCACCGGCACATATCGAATCACTTATGTCTAAGCGACTGTCCGTTTTATCTTCCCTCTGAGCAGCTTGTTTCATCTCGCTACAACGCCACGTCGTCGATATTGGATCCGGTTTCCACTCGTTCTTTCAATTTTATGCTCCGTAAAATGGATGCCCTTTCCTTGTTTATTCATAAAGGGCTCGAGTAGCGCAAGGTGACGAAGCAAACTGACGGATCAGCTTGAACATAAACACCCAACAGTTTACAAAATACAGCTTGTGACGACCGCGTGACAAAGCTAAGACATGGTGTCATTGTTCAGGTAAGGCTCGCTCGGTCTTCGCCCTCGCCCGTAATAAAGGTCAGCTTCGCTATCTGCATATTCGCCTAAGTGTTTCCATGATCTGCTTAGGAACAAAGCAATTACATCATGCGGTAATATGGGTAGAAGGAATATCATATCCGTTATTACTAAAAGCAATAACAGAAGTAATATCAGCAGAGCAATAACATTGGTAACATGGCCCGGCTTTACTACTTCTGCCGTAATTCAGCGACGCTGCGTGCAAGTCCAAAAATGTGCGTACTGTTTGGTCGGCTGACACGGACCGATCAGCTGACAGCTGTCTAAAGCGGGTCATGTCGCCTGGGGCGGTCAGGTCTGTACGGTCACTGTACGGCACATACAACTCTTCACAGTCCCGCCTGCTAAAACCAAGCGATGAACTGGATGTGACTGCCTTGGGCGATGGCACGCACAGCAAGCTCGGCTAAGGAGTACTTGGGCTGACTCCCCCTCCCCCTAAATGCACACGTATCTACCATTCATCAATTCGTACGTAGTTGAGCATGACAAACGGTGCAAAACTGTCCGTCATTTCCTCACCTACAAGTGCAGATCATCGACCGTTAATAACAAAAACTAAACACGAAATTGACGTGAAAACGAGTGAATAAAACTGATATAGAAAACATCAGCGATCGATCGATCGACATCAAGCGTGCATATAAAAGTGACCTTGAGTGGATCTGTAAATTACAAAAGTGACCTTGAGCGGATTCGTAAGTTACAAAAGTGACCTTGGGCAGATCTGTAAATTACAAAAGTGACCTTGAGCAGATCTTTACATTACAAACGTGACCTTGAGCGAATCTGTAATTTACAAAAGCAAGCGACCTTAAGCCACTGGCGTCACAATGCTTACGGCGAACGGCCCAGCCAATGCCGACGCAGCGTTTATGACCGAACTTTACGCCTGCGTCCATGGCCATAACTCCAACCAGACGACTTATGTGTGTCACTCGTCGAAATTGATGCGCCAACTATTCCAACAGGCATCAAATTCTATCCAAGTCGGCTTTATTTCGGCCGAGTCAGGGTCCGCCATGCGTCACCAGCAGCAGTAAGTTCCATACAGGGCTTAGTTTCATAAAAAGCGAGAACGAATCTGCACACCTTCCATTTGCTTGTATGGACTCATACAACAGATTTGGTTCGATCTTGCGCTCACAAATC